ACATATCATAATCTCAGGAAACATGCACTCACAATTGCAACTGTCTTTGGCAGCACCTAGGGCTGTGTGCAGACGTTTTCCCGAATGAAACATCTGAAATCTCCAATCAGACCCAGACTGACTGACGGACACTGGCATCACTTGCTACGACCGGCAGTGACAAATATGGAACCTAACACTGACCATCTCATTAGCCAAAAGCAGGCCCATAGTTCACATTGAAATATTATTTGTTTTTGTTGATTACAATTGTTCTTCATTTTAAATATTGCATTTTTTCCTGTTTTTTGTGCACTACTACAAATAAAATATGTGCAGTGTGCATAGGAATTTGTTCATTTTTTCCAAACTATAGTCCAGCCCCCGACAGTGTCTGAGGGACAGTGAACTAGACCCCTGTTTAAAAAGTTTGAGGACCCCTGATCTAGAGCTATAGCACTACAATACCACATTGATTAGATTCTCTACAATAGTTATGAATACTTCTGGAAGCAAGGCACATTCCAGAAACTTAACCCCAAAACATTAATTATTGCTTACTGCAGCCCCCCAAAATCTTTCCCTTAAGACAGTTCAGCTGATTACTTCAGTTATCATAAAGTCTTTGGGATGAATATAGAAATCTCAGGGGACTGATGGAGAGGCTCTGCAAAGGAGTATGCACTTGGGTAGTCTTCCAAGAAGAATGCCAGAGAGAGTTAACCATATAATCAGACTACCAGAAATGCTCTAACCATCAAAGCTGGAATGAGGTACTAAAATCTCCATGTTTTAGGCTTAAGGCCAGGAAACTCACCTGACAGCCAAGAGCTGTTCTCAGGAAGGTCAGTACACTTGCAGATACAGGTGCAGCTCCTGTGACCATCAGCCTTACTCTTCCTCCCAAACTTGCCTACAACAGACACAAGATACTGTGGACACCAAAAGCATTTTAGAGAAGTTTCCAGTGTCTTTTTCCATCCCACCCTCAGCCACTGTTCACCTACAGTGCCACCCACAAGTGTCAGAGATTAAAGTTTAGTCTCCTATTGCAAGCTGCCTTTCTTGCAGTGTTTTTATTCTCATTAATGGCTGGAAGAAACAATATCTCAAACATACAGTTATCTGTATACAAAGACTATGCTGTAGTGTCACTGCAATACTCAGCCAGAAGTCTAAAAGAGGTGAAGTCATGGCCTTACAGCAATGACTATTTTTAACTGCCTTTATCAGCTTCTCATACATCCTGAATGTATCCTGAATGCTATAAAAAGCAGCCACAGGGGCACGTTGTACAACCAAGGTTTGGGCCATAGAGAGTGCCAGCTATAATAACAGGGATAACTTACTAGTGACCAGTGAGGAGACAGTAGGGTCTACAGGTGGCACTAAGTCACATTTAGCATTCCTTCTTCAGAAGGACAGTGTTTGCTTTCAAAGTGCTAAGAGGAGCACCAGAATGTTTTAGAGAAACCTCCCTAATACAGTTAGCTGATATTATTAGAACAAAGGGAACTGAAAAATGATGTTTAAATAAGACAGTTTTTTGGTTTTTATTCCAAGCAGCCAGGTAGTCTTTAATCAGTGATGAAGGGCATACCAGACTACAACCATTCATATGAAATTCAACAATTGTAAACTGATGCCTATAAACTAGTAAGTAGACAGGATATATAGTGATGCTTCACATTTCCAATATTGAAAACACATTAAGCTACTGTTCTATGACACAGTAAGCACATTTGGAGCTCTGTTCTCAAAATAATCATGAGCAAATAAACAACATAATCAAAGTTCCAATATCCACCATACAAAGACTCTTAGAGGCTTTCAAGCATACCTGTATTTTACGGAAGATGACTTTATCCCAGAAACTGTTATTTCTAACTATGCCGCTTCTGAGTTCTGCTTCTTTCCTCTTGGAAGCAAAATCCAACATCCACCTCTTTAGTGAAGTATCTGCCTGTCCAAAAATCTATTAAGAAAAGTGATCTGTGGTTAGAAGCCTCACAGACTACCATTCCTTTTCTTAGAGAAGCATGCATAGAGACTCTTAACAGCAAAAAACAAATAAATTAACCTTTACAGGTAAGCATATTAATTCTGGTAAAAAAATACTTGTGGATTTTGATTTTGGCTTCTTCACCTCAGTTCAAGAGATGTCCACCAAAATTAGCACTTAACTAATCTTGTTTCCCATCCGTGTGATGCTTTTTCAGTGTATAGCTTCTTAATTAATATGTATTGATGTGTGGATGTTTTACTTTTCTGTTCCCATTCAGTCAAAAGCGGCATTAAGTGTAATCCTCAGCACGCTCTAAAGAGCACACCATCATAATACATAAAGTAACACAGGGTTTTCTGAGGAGATGCAGGTCCCTCCAGAAATACTAGAGAGATCTGTCTTGAATATATAAACTTGCTTTTTAGATCACTTTTCAAAGGCTCCTTCTGGTAGTTCCCAGCAAGTCAGAGCAGACTCAACAGCAGACCACAAATCAGTATATTCACTTGGAAACAGACAGACTCAGCAGCTCTTCAGCATTAGGGCCACTGCCCCCAATTTCCCACTTAACTTCACATGCTAGGTTACTGCAAGGCTGGGTGAGGTTGAAAGAATGCCATATAAGTGTGTCAACAAGCAAGACATCACGAAGATGAGAGTCCCAAGCTTTGACTGTCTCTCAAATTCCAGTACAGAATGCATAAGCAGAATGAGGGGCTAAGTTTTAAGCACTACAGGCACGGCTTAAAATTTCCTACCCTCCAAACATATGAGACTTGCACTACTTGTTCCTGGGGCCAAAGAGAACCTTGGATTACTTGCTGTTCCCCTTGTCTCATTATTAGAGCAGTGTCCTAGCTAAGACAGCTTAGTCAGGTCTGTAATTTCATTAGCAGTCACAGGACTTCTTGTTGTATCCTTCCAACTCCTCTAGCTGTATCTTAAAAGTCAGTCCTCCACATGCAAAAGGAGGATTTAAAAGTCTTAAGTTCAGGAAAGAACCTGCTTCTGAATTCCCATCTCAGATGACCCTGAGCAGGCAAGCAGCAAGCACAGGAGAGACTGGGCCTGCTGACACCTTCTCCCCAGCACTCCAGACTGGCTGGTTTATAGTTCTCCCTGCTAGAACATGCTGGCTGCTGTATAGGAAACTTGTATGTGTCCATGCAGACACAGGCAAACACCTGACCTCAGTTTGCAAATTCCACTCCATGAGTCAGATGCTAAAAGCGTGGCATGCAGATGCTAAGCCTCATGTTCATGTTGTAGACTGGACTTAAATAGCTTGCTCAGAGCAAAACAGTAAGTTATTAATCAAGCTAGAGAGAACCAAGTCTCCTAGTCAGGCTTTTCAACACTAGCATCTACTGCCTGAAAGTGATTTAATACAATCAGTACTACCCTGCACTTTCAGCTCCTTTAGGAGAGACACCAATTTGTTAACACGGCAATTTAACATCCCAGAACACAACAGTTTCTCCTACTATGTCAGCACAGACTTCATGAAGTCTTAAAGCCCTGTGCAGATCTAGACTCATGCCTGTGGACTTACCTTGTCAAACATTCTGTTCAACAGTCTTGGTACCACAGGAAATACAGTTGGCTGCAGTGTTTTTAGGTCATCCATAAGTAGTCTGATATCCCCTTGAAAGAATCCTATCCGAGCTCCATGGCACAGAATCACACACTGTTAGAAAAAAGCAGAAGTCTGAATACAGAGCATGTATAATATGTTCTAGCTATATGTGTATGACAGTCCTATGCAGAGTGGACAGGGTAGTATCCATCTTAAATCCCCTCAGCTTCAAGACAAGTTCTGCAGCATTTTCAGACTATAGGATGGGACTAGAAAGACCAAGTAGCAAGACATGCCTGTTAGTGTTAGGGTACACAGACCAAGGACTTCGATAGAGTGAGATGCAGCACAGAAGCTCCTACCCAAAAAGGGGTAGTTGGTCCAATAAGGCAAGGCCAGCAACTCAGAGGTAGCAAGAGACTGGAAAGCAGAACTTTCCCATTTTAAATGTTTATCAGGCTTATTTAAAAATACTAGAACTTTTTTTGTTCCCCGCTATATGCTAAAGAAGTCAACACATGCTGCATACTGGTCCAGCAGGGATTTCTGCCTTGTGCTACTTCTTTTTCATTCTCTTGCACTCTAGTTTTCCTTCCTGTTTCACAAGACCAATACAAACAAATTTCTTGTTAGGTGATCAAGACGCTCTTTGGAAGATTCTAGAAGAGCCACTGATTATTTTTGCATCACTTCAGACCTACACCAAGGAAGGAAGACTTAATCCTGTTGTGTTCTATACTCTTTATGTTAGTCTAAATGCTCCACCCCCTCACACCTGTACCCCCCTTTTCTTCCTTTTTTGTTTGGGTTTTATTTATTATTTTTATTAACATCCCTACTCTTCTTGTGTTTCTCCATACCTACTAGTTTTCATTTCTTCTGCTTCTTCTGTAACACCTCTTCCTTCATTCCCTGCCATCCATTCTCATCTTTTCTGCACAGGAGTCACTGTCTGCTAAGGTGTCACTTTTTCTCCTCACCTATGCTTTGCCATCATCCGCTAAAAAGTTGCAAATGCATCACTCCACATGGAGCGAGCAGCAACTGCCTCGGCTAGGTGGGAACACATTTGTCCTGTCAAGTTCACTGACCCTCCAGTTTCCTTAGGAAGCAAAAAAAATTGGCAAACATGAGCTTTACAACAGGCAGAGACTCTAAAGGCTGCTTCTCACAGAGCCTGCAGTCATTATCTACCCCAAAGATTAACATATATTTTCTCTTTTCTATTAGAAGTGTCCTTGCCTTATCTCTTTATGCAAATATGCAGGTAGACACCTACTTTGTAAAGCCCTCAAACAGCAGAGGAATACTGAAATCCAAACACTTTCTTCTCATTTTATCCATTAGAACACAAGTTCCCACCCTGTTTCTGCTATATGACCAAAAGCTGAGCTATTACCTACAGAGCTTTTACCTTCTGATGCAAGGCAGGCATCAGTAAAACTGACACTGAAGTATAACTGGTATCCAGGTTATCAGGAGAAAAAAAAAACCAAACCAAGCCTAAGGGCACCTGTACACCTTGGTTAAGCTCTATTCCCAATCTTCATAACATACATATATACAGATATACGCATATATACATTTTTTACTCTATGTTTATATGGACTCACTGTTTTGATAGAAAGCTCAGCATTCCTAACTGAGATCACAGGACAATTTCTGGCTCTGTGTGACTACCTTTAATACATATTCGCAATCTCACCCAAGGGAGAAGTGTTAATTCAACTTCAATAAGTACAGTAATTAAATACCTATGCCTCTATTGTATAGAAGAGGTTTGAGGATATTGCATCTTTTAAATAACACACAGCACCTAACTATGGGCTCAGAGTCCTTATTAAGACTGCCAGTATTCAGACAACCCAAGCCCCCCGCATGCTTAACAATGCAGCCCCAGGTTTTGCTATATGGTAAAACAGGCTATCTGAGCAAACTGCAACATTAGTAATTAAGTGACATTAAAAGCCATTTTCATTTCCTGGAAAATAACTCAATTGAAACTCAATTAAAACAAAATCCCTCCCTTTTTATTGAAGTTGCTTGGAAGCAATAGTAAATTTAACCAAACCAAAATTAGTTTTGTGTAAGCAAAAATGCCACATTATAAAATAAATTTTTAACATTTGCAGACTAGAGAATGGCATGGATTTTTAATAGGGCACTGATTACATTAGAGGGAATTTCTAGGCAGTGTACACATGCTAAGGGATTATCCAAGGTTCTAGTAAACCAGTTTCTTATTAATCCTAGCTCTAATGTTAATGTTTACATTTCAGCATGAAAACAAGTTGTCTAGTACTCACTGAATATTGTTTATGGGATATTGTTTTCCTGAACCTTACCTCAAGCTTTCATACACATGTGCAAGAGTGAAAAGGAAGAGCACGTATGACCAGGATTCAAGAGACTGTACAGACTATTCTGTAAGAAAAGCAGGCTTCTCAATAGTTCAGTACAACAAACAGATGCTTACCTCAACAATTCTCTCAAACATGTGAGCCAAGGGCAGGAATGATATCAGAACATCATCAGAGGAAGGCATAAATGTTTTCTGAAAGTGTGAGTAAAATTAAAATTAGTTCTCATTGTTTCTCTGTTTTGCCCAAGTTAAACACAGCAATGAAATCTAGTGTCTAAACTCTAGAGCACAGCCCTTGCTTTAGTTTTGTTTGTAATGAAGCTGCACTAACTTTCTTTCCTTGAAAAGATCACAGCAATGACTTCTAGCATGAGCAAACACACATTGCAGAAGTGGTAATCTTTCAGAGTTGAGTACAGTGACCAGATTATTACAGTTTATCATTCATATGATTATGAATAGAAACAAATCCTGAGAGAAACCACAGAAAGTTCCATTATATACACTGGAAGGAGGCGGGGAACAAAAAAGGTTAAAGTAGTATGCTTTAGGCATTTTAAAAAAACCCAACATTTCATCCTAGATCAAAAAGTCTGCTTATCCAATTTACCATAAGGTTGAGATCAAAAGTACCTTACATGACCCAACTGACCAGTTGCTCAATTCAAAAGAATATATATGCAGAGTACTTGGCAAAATAAGCACAATTGTATTTTTAATTACATCTGTATTGTTAGAACTTCGAAGACTCTTCTTCGCTAGCCTGCCGATGAGCTTTAGTAGTCTCCTGTAAACTAAAAGCTAACACTGTATCAAGTACAAATACAGAGTTGTGATTCTTGCTTATTTATGCAATAGCTTTAATTATTCTGGGGGGTTAAAATACATTGTAGCTTCTCCCACCCTCACTGGAAAAGGTTAGCCTCTACACAAACCGTCTGATACACAGCTTGCACTAATGACAAACACTAAGCTCATCACAGAATGTAACACAGATCCACACCAGGACTTTTCTAATATTTTGCTTGGACCAGACTAAATTGTAAATCTGCCAGGTTCTTGACCCTGACAGAAGAAACCAGTAAACACTGACTTCAGACCTAGCATGGGCAGACTGCTGTCAAGTTACATTTTCACTTGGATCTTACTAGAAGTTACGACTATTAAATTAATGAGATTTCAGTGTTTGTTTTACTCCCAAGATTCTTCCCTTCATGCAAATCCACAGTGTTAACCTTTGTGGTTTACCTCTGTAGTTTTCACGAAAGCTGATGCATTGCTGACTATGTTTTGATGAGTGATCATAGCTCCTTTGGGGTTTCCTAAGGAAGAAGCACATCAGGATGCAACAGTGAAATTTTTAGATCTTTTAAGTTACCAAGCATTGGTAAAACTAATCTAATAGCATTTTAAGCAATCAGTTCCTTCATCAATATTAATACCTTCCTTTGTATATCAATTAAACAAAGGCAGAGAACTTGATAACACACTTTCAAGAACAGCTGTTAACAGTTTAAGTAGTAAGTTTGTGTTGAAGTCCTCAAATTTTGTAACAAGAGCAAATCCTTAAGAAGTTGTCATGTTTCCTGGATAAGCTTCTCATTCAAAATTCAACACTTCCATGAAGTTGCAGCTATCAAACCCAGACTAACTTATGTTCTCACATCTGCTTTAAAAATGTAGCTTGTCATTGTACTCTTCCCTTTTGCTCCCTGCCAGTGTTGGATACTAACTCACAAGTGTCAAGCATGTGACATCTAGACAGCAGTCTTTCTGTTTTGGTCTTACAGCAAGGTTGCATAGAGCTAAGGAACAAATTTTACTAATACAATACAAAAAAAACCCTATGGAAGAATTGAAAGTGTGAAAATGTAATACCTCCACCCCCCAATACTGCAACACTGTACTGATCAATGGGAAGGGGGAAAAAAAACTGGGGAAAAAAAAAAAACAAAGGGAGTCTTACCATAAAACTTCCCCAGCTACTACTTGCCAAAAAGATACAGCAGCAGGGGAGAGTCTTGAAAAAAAAAAAAAGTAGGAGGGCCTCTGAATTAATTTTGCGTATACAGGATAATAAGTTCTGCATAATGTAATGAAGTGTACCTGTTGTTCCACTGGTGAAACAGATGACTGCTAGATCTTCTGGCTTTGGAGGCTATGAGAGTTAAGAAAGTATTAGTAAGGTTAAGATAGCAAGGAAAAAGATTTTCTTGGACAAAATACTGAAATGCTGGTGTTACTTTTGAGCTATGGAAGATAGGGAGATTTGGTAGTTTGATCTACAGAATGCTATCCAGCTTCAGATTAAGTAACTTGAACTAAATTCATACTTACCATAGGTTTTTGTCTGTGTGCTCTTCCCAACTCCTACAGAAAGGAGAGAAAGATAATTTAGACATGAGCACACAACCTTTTTTGCTTTAAATTTACTGGACAAGCATTACCAAACACCATAGCATTCCATTATTTAGTCTGTCTATTAGGGCATTTAACTTGCAAAAGTGTAACAAAGGCTTTAAAGGATGTTTTAAAGATATATAAAATAACTACCATGTTCTACAAATACAAAAATGGTAACTAATCTAAAATTCAGGTTTTTCCCAGCTAGTAAACCAGACGTCACTCCCTAGAGAAGTTCAAGGTTAAGCAGTGTTATGATAAGCCACAGTAGGCAATCAATCTTACATCGCATACAGAAGACATGTGCCACTGACAGCCATTGAATAAATGAAGCAAGATTCATCTCAGTAAGCACC